AGCTGTTAACTTTTTATTCTTTTTTTTCTGCTTTTCTTCTATTTAACAGTTTCTGAATTAACTGAGTGCTTTTCTTCTATTTAACAGTTTCTGACAAAACAACTAGTACTTGCAAAAATCGAGAAAGGATTTAATTTCCCATGATTCCTTTCGTCTTTATTAATGACATACTTCACTGATAAACCAGTGTATTTGTCAACAGCATGAGCAGTACTAAACCAACTTCTCTCAGTGCACAGTAAATAAAAAGCAGCCCAGACTCAGCGGGGTAGGGGCTGACTGACCCTAAACTGACCTGAGATCTGTCCCTGAGTCCTGTTAATGGCTACTACATGACTTCAGATGTGCGTATTTGATGTGACTGTGTGTCCAGCACTGGGTTGGTGGGTTGTAATGTGAGCCTCAGGCTTGGACAGGACTGCTGCGGCATCCATCCAGGCAGAAAAAGCAAGACATGGAAGCCGGAGGGTGATAACACAGTGAGAGAGGGCGGGTAAGACAGCCCAAAGTGTAAGATGGGATGATGGAGAAGGAGAGGAGAGTAAGAGAAACGGGCAAGGAGTAGTGGTGCTCCATTAAACTCAGTCTCTGTGGAAGAGAGATGTCAGTCTGTGTCAGTTCGCTCCACTAACCCGCCTGTGGCAGGAGAACCAGACCTCTGACTCCTTTCCTCACACGCTCCCTTCTTCTTTCCTTTCCTTTTTTTTTCTACCTCACTATCACTATCTATTTTACACTCCCCCTTTTTGGGGGGGGGGTGATGACATTGCTGCCACGGCTGAGTGGAGCAGAAACACCCCACAGCCCCAGGGAAAAAAGAGACCAAGTAAAAAAAAACAAACAAACCCCAGAGCAGTAAAAGGGTCATCTTAAAAGAGCGAGAAAAGTATAGCTCTCTAGGTCTTTATGATCACACTACGGGTGAGTGAGGACCGGCTGCTCCGAGTGCTCTGGAGCAAGGCCCTGAAGCGAGGCCACCGTGCAGCAGCAGCAGCTACAACACGGGCAGCATTTCCCTCATTGCGGTGAAGAGGGCAGCACAGAACTCTTCAAACACAGAGGAGATCAAATCTTTAAATCCCCCGGAAATGTCAGCCACATTTAAGGAAATGTCAGCCGAGCTGAGAACACACACCAGCTGGAGCACGAGTGCATGCACAGGAAGGGAGGCACTGTGATATAGGGCAGTCACAACCTGTGGGTGTAATCAGCTTCATCACCATCACTATTGAAACTCTCTGGGGAGACTCACTTTGTGCTTCTGGAGATGTTTATTCCCCAGAAAGTTGATCTTATTATCCATGGCATTTATACATGAATAAACATCTGCTTTGCAACTCGACTACATGAAATGATGTAACACAAAAGGGATTCATCTGGTACAGGACGAGGACGAGGACAAGAGCGGAACAGGTATTTAGTAGATGTTAAGTATTTAGTTTGTGTCCAGTGTTCAATAAAAACCAAAAACACTTTTGTGTTCCTGCTGCGGAAATTGTTTCCACCAAACGTGATCATGTAGAGCAGGGATCCCCAACACCTGGTCTGGGGACCGGTGCCAGTCCGTAGGTCATTTGGTATCGGAAACAACGTACTTATGGGGACGCTGGTATAGAATGTTCTACTCTTCTAGTATTCGTGGCCAAAGTTTGAGCACGCCTCTGTGTTGGCTTCCAAATACCTGACTAAGAGGCCCGTCAGGCTGGAGGTACCGATTCCATGTAGGTTCGATTCCCTCTGTGATGAAGGGACAAGCTCAAAGTTACTTGTATCGTAATTTGTAGCAGGTTAAAAGTTGTGATTGAGAGACTGA